ACGGACTCTGTTCCCGTCGAAGGGCAGGATGTTGGCCAGCCTGTTCTTGGCCTGGTTGATCTGGCGACAAAGAAACGGGAAAATGTCGGCAAATCTGTCAACGGATACGAGCAAATTTCGGTCCTTTTTCGACAGTTTACAGCCAAATAAAATGGCACGAATTCTCTCATTTTCGCCAATTTCTCGGCATATTGCACTTGGGCACATGAGAAAAAGAATGCGATACAATTTCTATTTTTTCATATCGGTTATAAGGCTTGTTTAAATGGCGACATTTTCGCATTTTAGGTAGCTTATACTACTTGCAAGCGACTCACGGTCGCCCTTTTCTCTTTGGACTCTGCTAAATTAAATTGATTTAAATAAATAAATAAATAAATAAATAACATCCAGTCTCGCCATGTTGTATTGAAAATAGCTTTTGTCAGACACATTGTGCTTTTACTAATGAAATTTGTGAACCGAATTATTTTCCCTCGTCATGAAAGATTGGAGTTTCTTGTAGGGATTTACTTTCATTACTTCATGAAATGCGGACCACTTTCAAAGTCGGAGTTTATACAAGCATGACGAAGGATATTTTTTCCATCATTCCGCTGATTTCATCGCATCATACCTTTCTTGTAGACCAGTTTGGCATAAACTATTTGCGTTGGATATATTTTCGTTTGTCTATATATAAATAACTAAATGTTTTTTTATTTTTGTCTTTAACCACTTTTGCAATATATATATACATGACTCGAATTAATTGCAATTTATTTGCAATTTATGCATATCGTCTATTGTCATTTATGTACAAATGTCGCCCTATTTGCCAGAAAAGTGTACGTTTTGCCCAAATGCTTACCTGCAGTTTGGCTATTTCACATACACACATTTGCAGGCTGTTGCTAAGAAAGTCGTGGTGATTGCTGGGCGAATTTATGAGGCTTCCATTCGTCTTTCCCACCGACAGAGAAGATGTGGCTGCGTTCAATTTTCTGAATTCCAGCTCGAATCCAGTTGAACCTGAGAATGAAAAATGCATAATTAACACATTTGACGAGGCTGAGAGGGGTTTTTCTGTACCACTGCATGCAATGATAACGAGCCATCTTTCCACATTAAAATAGGCCCTGTAAACCGAAATGAGTAGTCTCACTCGAAATCATACAATTTTAGGCTCATTTCGCAGCTTGACAATGAAAGGTGTTGTTTCGGTTATCCTAATTGTGAGAAAATTCAACTATCAGGCCTTGATGACCGCATCAAAATACGATGAATACATCTCATGTATACGATTTCTCTTGACTTTCAGCCTCCTCACTCTATTCTGTGGAGTTCAACAGCACCTTTTGCTCATAATAATGTACAGATTAAGAGATTGGCACCAACTAAATGCTTCTTTTTTACGGCCAGACACGGAGTCGAATGCCTCATAAAACCTAGAGTGGATATAATTCTTAGTCTATAACTTGCGGTACTTTCGAAACCCATTTCAACAACTCGCGCAAGCTAACCCGAATGGGTCAGAAGTGGATGTTTACAGCTCGACTATCCTTTGTCTTCTGGTTCTGTCCAACCCAACCCACTCCAAAGTTGACCCTTCAGCG